TGAAAGGGGCTGGTCAACTATACCTTTGGAGGGTCCCTCTTGACTGACCGCTGAATTTGACCTGGGATCAGCTCCTAGGGTGACCAGACAGCAAATGTGAAAAATCGGGACAGGGGGTGGGGGGGTAATAGGAGCCTATATAAGAAAAAGACCCCAAAATCGGGACTGTCCTTATAAAATTGGGACATCTGGTCACCCTATCAGCTCCATAAGATGTCATAAGGCATTTTCACACCTACAGTAAGTGAAAGTTCACCTCCTTACTAACAAAGCTCATGTCTCATGGGCTCCAGGGTATGTGTATTGGTCATTATAATACCTATAACGCCATCTTAGATTACAGAGTGCCTTCAGACTTCATACATACAGTCAGGAATCACTTTAAGCCCTGAAATGCAGCCACCTCTGGGGTGGAATTTGGCAGCTGCATACCAGCACATAGCAACACGGTGCAAGAGTTGGCACACACACACCCCCATTGAAACCACAGGAGGAAGAGGATGCAGCTCAGCTGGTACAAATGGACATAGCTCTGAAGTCGCTGAAGCTGTGCCATTGATGCCAGCTGAGGAGTGACCCTGCTGCTTACAAACAGTACTGTGCGATCTCAAATAGTAGGCGGTTCACATGGACACCACTATTAGCAGCTGAGTAGCTCAAATGGCCACAAGTGGTCATGTCTCAGGTTTACCATCTCCTCGCTGCATTTGGCTTAGCAATGTCCATGTGCAAATAGTAAAGGGTATCGAAAAAGATGCTCACACAGATTGTGTGTTATTCTGGGAGGATTTGCTTCTATTTCGTCGTGGTTACAGCCAGGAGTGCCCTACCACTTACCGGCCGTCTCAGAACAACCTCTCTGAGTTTTTGCTGCCCTTTGTGTAAACAATTGATCAATATGGCTGGGGGCCCCAGTTCAGTTCCAACCTGACTAATGCCCAGTTCTTCCCCCAGGAAGCATCAAGTGCAGAATTCCCCCCTCCCCCCACAAGCACTCATCATTGCAAAATATCTTTCTGCCAATGTCACCAACGTTGATCGAAGACATCAGCTGCAAATTACTGTGGAGAAGCTGTGTGCCCATTTGCAAAGATGTCGAGGGAGCATTAATTCAGAGCATCATTAGCCTGCAGGGCAAGATAATGCTTCGGAAGGTCTTCTGATGGGTGTAAGCAGCCACTGATTAGATCTGGTCTTTGTGGCGTTCCTCACGATGAGGCTTTGGGATGCCAACCCAGGCACTATTTGCTTACACGAAAGAAAGTGCCTGACAGTGAACTGATGCCTCTGCAGTGTGAGCAGATGACTTTCCCTCCCTGCTCCAAATAAAGTCTACACACATGCACAAGGTCAGACTTACCCTCTTCCTGGATAACGCCAATAACAATGGACCGTAAGCTTTTGCCCCCAAATTTCCTGCAGGATCTCCTTCTCTGTCTCTACTTCCCTCTGACCAGACAATCACAACAACCGCTGTTATGGCAATAAGCACCAGAGTGCCATTACACAGAGCTGTACATGTTCTTTTCCTTAGCATGCGAGCAGTGTTCAGTCCTGGAATACATGCTCTATTGTTTTTCAGTACTGTGTGCAGGGAAGTTGTAAAACAGCTAGCGAGGTTCTTCTCTGCCTTAATCTCACCAACTAGCATCAATTCTTGGGGGAGAGTTGCTTGCTGCTAGCTGGGCATCGGCGGCTGGGCTGAGATTTCAGAAATAAGGGATTGCCTTTGTGCCATTTGTGCCCACCGCTGCTCCAGGTCTGCTTCGGCGTAAATAAACAAGTTACATTATGAATAAACCCAGACTTCCTATCACTGAGATGTCCGCCAATGGGAAGCTACCCTGCTGGGCCCCCCAACATCTGCTGCTGCTAGGCAGAGAGGTGACGCTATCCTGGTGGAATGAACACAATTGCACTGTGGGGCTGATTCAGATGCTTTCTTCAGGATTCCGGATAGGCTGGTAGAGGAGCATGTGTCGCATTAGGTGTGTGCATGGCGTATGAGTGCCTGTGGTGAGTTGCAGATGTAGGGTGAGAGGCTGTTGCGTGGAGCAGTGCAGGATTTCAGAGGGTGAGGGAATTGCCCCAGGGTGGCTGGATGATGGAGGAGGTCTGGCTCTGTTTCATATCTCCGTGTCCACAGAGTGATAAATCTTTATCTCCCCCAAGTAATTGACGCTGCCTGCCAGCGAGGGCCAGCGCCACTCTGACAGATGGGATATTTTGCTGCTGGCAATTGGAACTATCAAGGGAGGCATTATTCTCGCTGCCTTCGACTTTCTCATCAGGGAGAGAGTGCTGAAGTGCCAGAATTAAAGTGCCATTTGATTTAATGTGCAGCACCCGACACTCAGTTCAGATCGTTAGATAGGAAAGCTGGGCCTGACCAACTGGGGCTGTCCAGTAGGGGGGGAGGCTTGAATATCATTTCTATTCCAGTCTGAGGGGGGGACTGTAGTGTACAGGAATTGGGTAGTATCCCTTTAAATAAAATAAATGGTCCAAATGAGAAGGTGCTGCCCCAGTGTGGGAGGATTTGACTTAGCCCTGGATCTGCCCATCCCTTAATGGTCTAGTTTTTGACTTTGATGAGCTTCTGGCTTCTGAAGCACCTTGCCAGTTAGTTGCATGCCACTTAAACCAGTGGTACCCAAAGGTGGGTCAAATGCCGTTCACTTTGCCTCTGATCTTGATCACTGTTCTGTGGGAGCAGACCCCTGAGCCTGCATAAAACTCCAATTTCATTCATCTGCCACAGTTTGCAGGATTGGGCCCTTAGCTTAGATATGGACGTGGGACGTTCCCTGACCAATGATTCTAAACTGCAAGCCTCAGGCAGGTGCAGAATTTGCCTCCCCCCCTGCCACGCAGGGCCCCATTGGCCTAGCAGGAGCTTCCCCCCCCCACACCAAATATAGAAGTAAAACTATGCCTATGGAATAAGGCAATCACAATGGGGCCCTAATGGAGGTTCTTGGTTCTCATTTGCATCTCCCAGGAGCTGAAATCCTATAATAGATGAGAGGCTTCAGCACCAGCCGAATGTTCTTGAATAAATTTCCATCAGCCACCTATGTAATGAATTTTCCACTCATTTCTAGATGCTAATTCCATTTGCTGTGGGGACGGGGCGACTAATGGCGATTTGATCCGATCCGCACTCCCACCCAGCCAGAGTCACGCTGCCCTGAAACGCGTCACCCTGCAGCCAAGGAGGCATTTACGCCACTGTCTCTTACGCAAGGCATCTTCCTTTCCATTCGTCATGTCCGCCCTGCGTCAATAGGACAATAAACGAGGGTGTCCGTTCACAGCGCCAGTAGCCAAGGCCACGGTCAGCTTCAGATTCCAGGCTTAATAGGGAGGCCAAAAGCCCAGCTCTATAGATTCTGGGTCTGACTCACCATTGTCCTGCACCTTGGGTCATCACTTACACCAGTGGGCGGAAAACACGACCATTCTGATCTGGGAGCATTTGACACCTGTTTTCCAGCAGTATCAATGACAACACACGGTGCAAAGTAATAGAGTCAGGCTTGGTGCAGGGTAGCTGTTTCCTCAGCACCTCCTGTTGGGACAAGCTGGAAGCGTAGTAGTTATGAGCTCCCCCGCCCTCCATTCCCAGCAGCTGGGGAGGCTTGGATTGGAGTAGTGGTGGTTTCACCAGTCAGCCCTCCTGTGCCATTGCCTACAGTGAGTGCTGCAGGGACTGGAGTAGCCATGAGCTCCCATGCTACCTGGAACACAGTCTCTACATAG